TACGTTTTTTATATTTTATATTTTTTATGTTTAAGGCGAGTTTTTTGGGCGGTGTAGAGTAGGGCTTGTTGTTTGTCATTTCTCCGATCACAAATGCAGACATGGTTTTATGTTTACGCGGCATAATTATGTCCCCACTGGATGCAATGAATGCCTCGTTTATAATGGGTTTTCATGTTTTTGAATCATCTCTCCGGCCTGACAGGGCATCATCACAATATGGCAAGGGGCGTAACATTTTCGTCACGCGCTTGATGTATTCGGCCAATCATAACGCACTGGATAGCTGGCCAATCAGAGCACACCTCGCTTTTCAGACCGATGAGCTTTGTAAAAATCGATGCGTTTCAGAAAGGCGGGGCATAGAGGAGAAACAATAATGTACAGTATGTGGAAAATAATGTGTTTTTTTAACCTTAAACCGCATAAACACATTTCATTACACCAAATACACAAAATTACGTTCTTTTTAGCAACATCATATGACCCCCTTTAATATATTTTGATTAACATTTGTGTCGTACACAAGTTTTAATGCCTTTATAGGAACAATTCATATAGGTGATCTAGGAACATTGTTGAAGACATTGTTGTATCTGGAGTCAAGCTGTGATTTAAAACTGAATTAATTTGTAGGAAAGCTGAAGCATAAATGTAGATCTGATGCTCCCTGGCCTCAGTTTTCTGTTTTATGGTACACCATCTGTCTTCTGTCCGTCTCTAGTTTATTGCAGCTGCAGTCTTATAGGCTGAAGGGAATCTTGGCAGCCATAACTGAGGAAACAGCACAAAAACGTCAAACTGCTTGCATCTATTGATGTGTAAAACATCCAGGCCTGTGTGAATGCTCTGACTTCAGCAGGCATATCAATCTGCTGTCAATACAGCATGGGTTTAAATCAGAGAACGTTTTGCTCGCTTCTGTTTGAAAGAGAGACCTTATCCATGAGGGTTATGTCCTGACAGCTCTAGCCAACACGTTGATTTCCTGATATAATCTAAGAACACACAAGCATAGTTAAGAGTCGACATAGCAACCATACCATTAATTTGTGTCTCTCCCTGTATCCTGGCAACAAGCTTAGGGGCCAAAAAACAGAACCCTGCTAGTTTAAATACAGACACTAATCTCTAAGACTCCACTTATGAAGCACCTTTATTATTATTGCTCATATTTGGAAAAGCCATCATTATTATTGTGCATATTTGAACAAAGCCTACTTATTAAGTAAATTAATAAGTATTTATTAATAATTAATTCTCAACCCCCCAAAAAAATTAACTCACATTTACGTCTGCTAAAGAGCCCTAAAATCACCTGTACAACAAAGGCTGACAATATTAATATTAATATGAAGGTTGCATACAGATGGATTATTTTCAAATGTTAAATTTCAACTATTTTAAGATTTTATTGTATTATAATAATTGTATATATAATACACACGCGCACACACACACACACACATACACACATACATACATACATACATACATATATATATATATATATATATATATATATATATACTGCATAATACTATAAAATATGTCAAATACTATATGACGTATTGATTCATTACAATGCTATTACAATGTAATGTTACTTTCTCTTTTTATTTTTACATCAACATGGTACAAGATTATCCTAAATCAAAGCAATAAATGAATTAGGTAATCAAAAAATAGTCAAATTATATTACCTAAAATGTGTAATGTAATGGATTATGTTACCAACTACAATTTTTGTCATGTAATTTGGAATCAGTAATGGACTACAATTTGTAAGTAACCTACCCAGCAATGTCTTATTTACAAATGAATAAATGAATGTCTTATATATTCATTTATTTATATAGTTAACAAACTGGATGCAAGTGGCAGTGACCCGTGCTGACAGAAGCGGATCACACTCTCTATTCAGTCCTGGTGGGCTCTGATTAGGGATCCTGGCCAGTCTCCCGTTACCTTATGAGAGAGCATCTGTGCTGAGATATTTTGACATATGCACGGGCTTAATAATGATGTAGAGTCTTAGGTAGAGGGCAATGTGTTTTTGAGGGTTAAAGTAGATTTTAATCATAAATTAAGATTCATAAAATTTTATGATATCTTGAGACACAGTGATACTCACTCAAAGAAGCATATTTGGTTATACAGCTTTATATAGTAGCTATCAAATATGCCTCCACAAAATAAGCGGGCACAGCTGTGAAAAGAAATATCACACGTCTTCACACTTAATTTTTTAACACATATTCTGTAATGTGAAGAACAGAGTGTGAATCATGTGCAATGTGTGACATGACTAAGAAAGAAATCATATGTGAAAGTGTTAAGGAGAAATAAGGGAATATAGATCGAGAGGTCTAATTACGGTTATGGTGAAAACATGTACCTGTGTATATGCTGGCGCTGGAGGCAGGGATTCCAAACTGAGACTCGATGAACTTGGGGATGAAGGTGATGAAGGCAGTGACGATGGCGCTCTCAGCTGTGTACGACAGACTCACGAACAGGAACGTCATGTTGCTGAGGATCCTTATGGCAGCCTTGGGGATGTCTACAAAATGGGATAACCCCACCCCCAAAAAAAACAGCATCAGCAACTACACACATCAATAACCATTAAATGGCCAACATTAAAATTCTGTAATATTTGATCTAAATAAATTAAAAATGAAACACCAAAAACTAAAACAATCAGTTTGAATGCTACAAATGAATTTAGGCATAACAACATTAAACTATTCAGTATGATAAATGGATATTCATTTTGTCATTTGCTAAAAATTAACTGTTACATTTTAGATATTACATTCAAGTAAGCGTTAGATGACAGTAAAGGTAATCTAAATGTAAAAATAGAGAAAATAAGCATAAATGTCTAATATTAGCGGATATATATATCCAATTCCAAAAGATAAATACAATTTTAAAAACATCCATAATATAGGCCAATAACCAGTATAGTACCAATATACTGTGCATAAATAAAAATTCAATAAAAATGAAAACAAACAAATAAAATCAACTTATTTTCATGCTAATTTGTCTTCAAGAAATGCTGGTGGTCACAGACGCGACCTGCTTTCTTCTCCGCATCAGCTCTCAAACAAGTTATAATCCATACTAACAGCTGTTTGCTGTTCTAATAGGGTAAAGACAGCTAAACCTAAACATGGTGTCTCCACAGCTCTTCTGGATTCATCGGCTAATCCATTTAAATCCCATAGGTTTTAGCCGAATGCTTCATCATGGCCAACAATGCCACCTCTTTTAATTAGCAGGTTAGGGCTGTAGCACTGTTTCCATGGTAACGGACTATAATCAAACTTTAATTTGCTCCTGAAGGTTGAACTCTCATACCATCTATGGGACTGACAGAAGAGATATAGAAGCTGGTACAAAGCAGCCAGATTAGAACCTTCACCTACTAATGAACAAAACAGCTTGTCTGCCTCTACATCAAAGTGCCAGAAACTACTCTAGCCTACTGTAAGGCATTGTAGAAAAGTTGAAAGCCTACTTATGCAAACACATGCAGGCCAGGAAGAATGGAAGTAGGTTACAGCGGGTTTATAGAACAAAGCTTTGTCTTGCTTGTAGTCAACTTGTGTGTATTTGTCAAAGCAGGACAAAGGTCGCTCCAGGCAAATAATAATTGGCACTTATCTGGATAAAGTTTAGACAGTGTGACAATAATAGCAATGAGATTTATACAACTTAATGTACACTGTTCTAGTTTGAAGTTGTAATATGTATTTTATTATATATTTTAATATATTTTAAAAAGTAATTTATTCCGTTGACGTCAATTTTCAGCAGTCTTTACTCCAGTCTTCAGTGTCACATGATCCTTCAGAAATCATTCTAATATGTTGATTTGGTGCTCAAGAAAACATTTCTTATTATTATTAATATTAAAAACAGTTGTGCTGCTTAACATTTTTGTGAAAACTGTGATAAACTTTTTTCCCCCGGATTCTTTAATGTAAGTTAAAAAACAACATTAATTTAAAATAGAAGACATTTGTAAGAATAAAAAAAGATAAATTATTTTGATGTATTGTGTCACTATGATTGCTTGAATCAATGCAAATTCAATGTGTATTTTTCAATCATACCAGTGCTGTATAAAAATGAAAGAACACAAAAAAAGTATCTTTAAATCTCACAATTACAACTTTATTTCTCTTAATTGCCTTTGTGACTTTAATCTATCTAAATTTAGATTTTACTCCTTGCAAGTTTGTCTTTACATCTTACTATTCTGACTTTTTATTCCTCTAGTGTGACTTGTTATTGCAACTTTATATCTCACAATGTTGACTTCGTATTCACAGTGTGAGTTTAATTCTTATTTTAAACATATATTTATTAATACATTTTTTGTTGTCAAGCAGAAACTGGTTTCTGTCATCTCTTAGATATATTTTCAGCAGTAATTCCTTAACTTCCCAACAGCAGTGCTACTGCAGATTGGTTATGAACGGGACCGTATTAGTGATGATGGTGGCAGGATTGTCATTAATGCTCTTCCCAGATGAATAATGAAAAGCAACTTCTGCTAGCTTACTCAGTCTTCATTTATAACTTTTTAAGCTTGATCATCATTCTACAGTTTCTATATCAGCATTTGAAAATCTCCTGAGAGTGGTGGTCAGCAGCACGGTGTAATTAAATGAGGGAGAGACAAACACACATGGTCAAAGATCTGGGCTGATAACAGAATGACTGCAGGTTCACATCCTGCCCCGTGAAAGACACTAAACTCCAGAGGACTGTATTTATAATAACTGTACTGTAAGATGTTAAAAGCGTCAGCTAAATGACAAATCACTGCTTTATATCACACAATCATATTATGATATTATGAATCTCTGCTAATCTTATATTTTCTCAGAATGCGTTGAGGACAAAAATAACCACGTTTTCAAGGTAACACTCCAATATGTACATGCACACTTCCTGTAGTGTGCATCATCACATGACCTTTATCAGATACACACCTCTGATGTCCTTCCCAAAGCCAATGGAGGACGCCACAGTCTGGCCTTTGCTGTTGGATTTCTCTTTCAGGACATCATCATCATTGGAGTTGCTGTCCGCCCCATTCTTTTTCTTCTTTTTCTTGTGTCGAGGGGGAAGTTTTTTGGGGAAAGTGAACATGGGGAAGATGACCAACAGCATGGCGAAAGCACAGAGCAGGAAACCACTCCACCTAAGAACAAAGCGATATGGATTAAAATCATTCTGGAGATTTCCAGTGTTTTTAGCAAAATGTGCTCAAAAAGTGTTAAAACTTTAATTTATGTTATGCTTTCAAAGGCTGAAGTAAAATAAATGAATAGAAATGGGGATTTAAAGCATCATTTGTAGTAAAATGGGTTCAAAAAGTTTTAAATTCGATTCATGCTATGCTTTCAAAGGCTGGAATGAAATAAATTAACTAAAATGTGGATCTCTATCAGTATTTGTAGTAAAATGTGCTCAAAAAGTGGCAAAAATTGAGTTTATGCTATTGTTTCAAAGGCTGAAATAACATTTATGAATTGAAATGAAGATTTCCAGTGTTATTTTTAGTAAAATGTGCTCAAAAAGAGCTAAAAATTTAATTTATTCTTTCAAAGGCTGGAATGAAATAAATGAATTGAAATGGGGATCTACAATGTTATTTGTAGTAAATATGCTAAAAAAAAAAAGTGGAAAAAAATTATTTTGTTATTCTTTCATTGGCTGGAATGAAGCTACAGAACAGCAGATCTTACCAGTTGCCAATAAAGCGTGGATCACTTTGCTCAATGTTGATGATGGTTTTGGGATCCACGTAGAAGCCGATCAGAACGCCTCCAAGCAGGTACCCTGCAGCTGGCCCCAGAGCCCCCATTACATACATTATAGCTGAAAGACGCAAACAACCACATGTTACAAACCATGCTCTGTACACCCACACAATTATTTTTTTTTTTTCATTTCACAGGATGTCTGATTGAGGCTGTTAATGTTCTTTCCACTTTCAGTGCCACTCTTGACTCATCGGGCAACTGAGTCAGCCCCACTGAGATGAAGAAGAGTATGATGGACTAATCATTAATAGTGCGTCATGCTTCCACTTTGTTGAAGAACATCATCATGTATTAGTAGCAGTTTTATAACTGCAGTACAGCTCTGTTTATACACCAGATATGACAGTATATGGAGGAGACAGAACATTTGCTATAAAACGAATAAGAGAAATTTAGTCGATTCTTTTTAGTTAATCAAAAACATGCAGCACGGCCAGTATAGTCTGATTCCTGGAAAAATGACTCTTCCAAGCAATTCTTTTTAGTAAATCAAAAATACACTGCATGAGTTTTTTCATTTCTCATATGAGTTTTTTCTTTTAAATAGTTATTTTTTTAGTGAATTTAGCGAAACAGCATGTAATTTGAATTTTTTATAAATGACTCTTTGGATGCTGGTTCTTCTTATTAAATCAAAAACATAAAACACGGCCAACGCAATCCAACAGACTCTCACCGAATGATTCTTATAAGCCAGTTATTTGTTTTGAAAAAGAAACATACAGAGCAACTAATGCAATCCAAATGACTCCCAATGAATGACTTTTATAAGCCAGTTCTTTTTATAAATCAAAAACATACAGTGTGACCAACATAAACCAACTGACTTCAAACAAATGACTCTTGAGTTGGTTCTTATTAGTGAATAATGTATTTGATTCATTAACATGTTTTTCCAATTGATGACATAAGTAAAGATACACATTATGAATATTATTATGCCCATTATGTTTGTCAATAGAATTTTATAAGAATAACTTAATGGATATTAGTACTGTTACCAAGTATATAGTTAAGACCTCAAGAAACTAAAGTGTATAATATGATTTTTGTCAGACCTCATTAGTGACTTTATTTGATACCGCAAAAAGATTAGCCAACAGTTTTGGAGATTTCAGCCAATACATTTAAGTAGATACAAGCTATACTCGCATGACTGGAAATAGCCTAGAGGTGACACAATAAATGACTGCCGAGTGCACTGACTTGCTTTAAAATGGATTTTTAGAGGCATTTGCTAATCCTTGATATGGACAGGTGCATATGCAAGGTTCAATTACTTTGTGTTGATACTTTCGACACTGGAGGGATGTGTGTACTGTCGGGAGAGCATTATCCCTACAGTCATCTGTTAGCGTTTGTTCACAGAAAGCAGCAGTGGACTCTCTCCACCTCCACATGGCCCACGCGGCTGCTGAACTGGTTCTGATCCAGCCAGAAGCTCACACAGAACTGAGGCAGGTGCAGCAACACAACAAGGCCTAATCTCTAATCTGTCTCAGTACGGGAGAAGGTTTGGCCAAAGGCCTGCCGGGTTATATAACACAAGTACAAACATGTTGAGGGAGACAGATAAGTCACTTTTTATTTGATGTAAACAGAACTACGCTGGCTTATACTCCTGTCTCTTGTCCTTACGCGAGAGAAGCCAGTGCCGAGAGAATGAGCCAAATCTAACACACACACACACACACACACACACATTACAGGCAGAGCGGCATGACATTTGGGCACAGATATTTCACACTCTGAACCATATTTAGCAATGGGTGTTGATCACATCGTGAAATAGGACAGGCTGACTTTTGTCTGTTTGATTTCCAATTATGCTGCTTTCAAGTCTTCCGGGGAAATTCGTACTTACAAATGTGCACACCATTACGAGGTTCAAGTGATTCCGGTTGGAATAAAATGGATGTATTGGGCAATTTCTTTTCTTTTTTTGGATGCACTGATACTAAAATTCTGGCCAATAAGTTATAAGTCAATTATTTTGATGTTATGGCTGGTATCTGATTAATGCCTGATATTATATAAAGCTATAATACACCGAAAAAAGAAAATCAAAACACACAAAAACTAAATAAATAAGGTGAACAAGTACAGGCATGGCCACAAGTTTTGGCAGTGACATAAATTTTGTGTTTTGCAAAGTTTGCTGCTTCAGTATTTGTAGATGATTTTTCCACATGTTTCTATGATATACTGAAAAACAATGATAAGCATATAAGTTTTAAAGGCTTTTATTGGCAAAAAATATATAATGAGTCAATATTTACAGTGTTGACCATTGTTTTTCATAACCTCTGCAATTCGCTCTAGCATGCTGGAAATTTGCTTCTGGGCCAAATCCTGAACGATGGCGAT